GGAGCTCTGAGGTGGGATAAGCAGGGTGGGAGGGGATGGAGAGGTGTCAGTGACATCCCTCTCACCAGGAGCAGGGTCCTTGTGAGGAACACTGAGGACAAAAGCAAAGCCCTTCCCAAGCCTCCTCCTGGGCCAGCAAGGGGAAGATGTTTTCTCCAGGAGCCTGGGCAGGCATCCAGCAAGGGCTGCTCTGCCGGAGGCACGGGAGGTACCCAGCCCAAAATTCTCAGCTCTGATGACTTCCAGGAGATAACCTGAGTTTACACTTCCTGGCAAGCCAGCCCTTCCCAGCACTGCCAGAGCCTCTTGCGCAAAAGCCGCCTGCCCGGGGCTCCTTCTCCCAGCAAAGGGCTCGGGAACAGCCCCAGAGGAGGAGAGAGGCACACACAGCCCCGAGGGGACCGCAGGAGCCTGGCACAGGTGCCAGTGGCTCCTTCAGCCTGGCTCTGGGAGTCACACCGAGTCGCAGAGCCGTGGTGACAGCTCGGTGACAGCCACAGCGGCCCCTCCTGCTCACCAAAACAAGTGGGGATGGAACAAGTTGAAGTTGTTGCCAAGGCTGAGCTGGGAGATGCTTTAAGGCTCATTGCTGCTGGAATTCCAAACTCATCCTCGCTACCAGACACCTCCCCTGCTCTTTACTTTATTTACTGCTTTTGTTACACTGAGCTGAGGATGACATGCACACTTTCAGGTTTGTTTGGACCTGATTCCATCTGCTTTTGCCCCATCCTGGTGGAGATACCTGGAATTCCAGCCCCATTCCCAAGCAAAACCCCTTGGAGCCGGCTCATCCAGGCGATGAGCTGCCGCTACTGGAACTGCAGCCTGACGGGGACACGCTGCCAAATTTCCACAGCAGCCCCAGCTTGTGTTCCAGCCACATTTCCCTGAAAACACACACTTGGCAGGACATGCAAGGAGCCCTTGGAGAGGCTGTCCCAGCTCGGTGCGGCGCAGCAGGGCCAGAGGACGCGGCAGGACAGCGACTGGGACAGCAGCTGCTCCAGTCTGAAAGCTCAGAAGATGCTCCCAAGCCAGGAGGTGCTGCAGCCCCTGGGGAAGGGACAGCACAGAGCCCCAGCCCGCTGGGACACGGGTTTAGCCTGAATCAGAGTGACCCCAAACCTGCCTGACCCCCATCTTCTGGGGCCAGCAGAGCTGGAAAGGTTGAGCTCAAAACGGGCACCCACCTGCAGCTGAGGGCACCAAGCAGCAAACTTAATTATGGTGATGAAGGAAATTAATCCATCCCTCCCCCAGTCTATAGGCCAAACTGGATAAGGACACCAAGAGCGGAGCAGCAAAGCCCCAGCCTGGCTGGGCGCCCCAGGAACATTCAGATCTGGGTTTGTGTTTTGGACTTTATCTCTGGTTTAGGCTACAGCTGGCAGGGCAGGCAGGCACAGAACCACGTGCCTGAATAATCTCATTACATATGACGGCAAAGGCTGTGCCAGCTGCACAGCTCCTGGGCCAGAGAGCTCACCTGCCCTCCCCACGGGGAGCGGGCACTTGGGCACAGCACAGCGCTGGGGGAAGGCCATCACCCACAGGATGATGCCACCATCCTCCTCAGCAGGACCAGAGTGAAGATGGAGCCACAGGGGAGCTCCCAGAGTGCTCAGAGTAGATCCTGCATCCCCCTCCCAGTGACATTTTTGTGGCTCACAGCATCTCCAGCAAAAACTTTTCATTTCAGGTCATGTCAGGTCCAGCAGCACTCAGGGACTCGGGGCTGTTAGTCCCCTCCCCAGGCCACAGCAGCGAGTTAATGCAACCATTAAACCTGCCAGCCACTGTAATCCTCACCTCAAATTGGTAAAATCTTAAAAGGCTGAAATCTTTGAAATGACTCAGCCAAGGGGGACAAAGGAAGAACAGTTTAAAAGGCTGTTAAAGCTCCCTGCATTCAGACCTGCTCTTGCGTGCCCTGCTCCAACCCCATCCATCTCCTTTGGGGAACTGGCCACAGAGCTGAGAGTCCTCCCCAGAACGAGCCTCCAGGCACCGGGCACTCTCTCAGCCCTGGTGCCAGCCAGAGCTGAAAGGAGAAGCTATTTCAGAGAGCAAGACAATCACAAAATGGTTTGGTTGGAAGGCTGGGCCATCTCCTCCCAGCCCCCCGTGCCGAGGGCAGGGACACCTTCCACCAGACCAGGCTGGGTTTTCCACCTTGCAGCAATGAAGATGGGACCCACTTTCCGTGGGATACAGGTCCCAGGGGCTGTTAAACTCAACCCTGTCACCCCCAGAAATGACCACGATGCTGGCTCAGTCTGACTGCCCAGGCTCCAAACTAGTTGTTTTTGGGAAGTGGTCAGGGCAAGCTGTGTTCCCATGCCAGCCTCTGGAGCTGGTGGAGGGATCACCCTTGTCCTGCTTCAAACTCTCCCTCCTCCAAAATCAGCCAGGTCCTGAAAACCCTCTCCCAGCTGCTGCCTCACCTCTGCAGCCCACGAAGGGCAGAGGGGCTGAGCAGCCTGGGGTGGGCACGGGGCTACCTGGGGACACCTGGCACAAGCCAGACCCCGGAGCTGGGGCGGGCACGGGGCTACCTGGGGACACCTGGCACAAGCCAGAGCCCGGAGCTGGCCCATGGCAGGCTGTGGCAGGCACGCTGGCCCCATGGCAGCCCCGGCACGGCGCAGGGGAGGCAGCAGGGGAGGCAGCAGGTTATTCTTGGAAACCAGGAGGTGAGGTCATGCTGCCTGAATGCTGCAACTTGAGGCCAAACGCGCGGGGCCAGTTGTGCTTGGAGAGGAGCCTGACTTCTGCAGCGAGGGCCGTCTGCAGGTCGGGAGGCCGCTCCGAGCAGGAGGAAAGGCTTTCTTAAGGAAGGAGGGCTCTTCCCTCTCAAGTTTCTCAGCAGACCACAGCAAAAGATGGGTTTGAAAAGAGGAAAGCCCCCGGAGCATCTCAGCCCACCAGGAAGGCTGAGAAGATGGCAGATGATAAAGCTGGGGTGATGCTGCTGCGGTGCCACGGGATCAGCCCAACAGCCACTGCCGACCCGGCCACTCCTCAGGATGCCTCCCACGTACCTGCACCACCCTGCAGCCCAGCAAGAGCTCTTCCACCTCGTCAGCTGCCAGAGCACATCCCAGAGCTGTCTGGGAAGAGAGGAGTCACCAACTCCATCCTTCAGGCTTCCTCAGCAGGAACCTTCCGGGAGTTTCCATCACCTGTGCCCACCCCTCGCGTCCCCTCGTGCTGGGAGAGCCGGCTCTCAGGCTGCACAGCCTCAGTTTTTATTTACACTTTGTTTTGGTTGTTTCAGAGCACGTGTCTGGCAAAGCTCAGCCTCTGTTCTGCATCACTAGCCGAGGCAGAGCCATCACCTCCAGAGCCCCAGGAACCAGCAGCGTCCTGTAACGAGGTTTTCCTGGTGTTTGTGTGGAAGTGATGGCACAGAAGGCACTAATCTTGCCAAAGGCCAGCAGGGCTCAGAGTGAATGGCAAAATCATCCTTTTACCTGGTGGTATTTGGCTATAAAATCACACATCCAGGGGCTGTGTTTTCAGCCTGTGTGCCACAGGCAGCCCAGCTCCTCGGCTCAGAGCCGCCTCTGAGGTTTGGTCAATCACTGCATCTCAGTTCCCCGCCTCTGAAAACATGGGAAACGTCTTTTGCAAGACCATGATGGCAGTAGATTATTATTGAGAGGAAGAGCCCCGCCACTTCCTGAGCACGTACCAAAGAGAAAACCCCTGCTCCCGAGCCTTATCAGTCCATCACAGTCTGACTGCACAGAACAAGTGAAGTGTTTAAAAGAGATTATGGCAAATCCTACATCATTTAAACAAACTCAAACCCCAAGTCAGTAGACTCCTTTGGTCAATGAGATAATAAACCACTGCTTTGGAAAAGTCCCAGTGATGTCACTGCCGCTTCCACAGCTTTTCAACCACAGCTTGCACAGAAGGCCACAGCGAAGACATTTCTGATTATATAAAATACATGGCAGAGCTAATAATAAAATCATCTCTCCACTGAGAGAGGGACAGAAGAACAGCAGACACAGCAAGCTGCTTCCCATGAGCACCAGCCCAGGATCTCCCTCACTTCAGGGATGTTTTCCCAGATGGATCTGCAGAGGGACACAGCATTTGATCTCCAACAGGGTGCTTTGGCTACAGGAACTCACCCATCCTCAGAGCTGCTCAGCTATCAGCTCCTGCCCTAATTCCATATCAGAACCATCACTCACAGATTATCAGAACCATCACTCACAGATTATCAGATGAGTGACACTGAGAGTGTTTCCCAAACACGCCCCAAAAGCACCAAGGATGCTCCAGAAACAGGGGCAAATCCACAAGCAGCCTCCACGAGCTCCTCCAGCCCTTCCAAAGCTCACCTCACCTCATCAGGTGAGGATCTCCTGCTTTGAAGCTGAAGTCAGCAGCAAGGTTTGTTCATTTATTTTGAAGGAAACCTGCTCCACAAAGAGCTTCATCGTGCAACGCACACAACAGAGGAAAACTCATCACCTGCAATACCAGTCCCCACTCTCCAGCCTGGCTTAGCTGCCATTTCCTCGTGGAATTAAGGCAGCCAGCCCAAAGATTCGTCTTAAAAGTGGAATTTGCAGCAGGCAAAGAGCCCTCGCTCCCAGCCCCACCACTGCAGCCTGACCACAGCCAACCCTGCCAAGTCAGGCCAGCAGTGACCTACATACAGCAGCCTCCCCAGAAATTACAAGCCTAATTTTGCCTAATAATAAATCACACCGAGGTACAAGGAAGAACAGGGTAAGGAAGCAGGCATTTCAGCTCCATTCATCACCTCTCACCGTGCTTCAAACAGGGGCAGCTCAGGGGTGACTGACTGGGACCATCCGTGGCTGATTCACACCAGATAATTCAGGGCTGCCACACCTCAGGTACCAAAAAAGACAATAAAATTGGGGGTGGGAAACAGAAGGATGAACAAGAATCTATAAGAAGAGTAGAGGAATCTCTTGTTTTCACCCAGGTACTACACAGCAAGCAGAACATCCATTAACTCGCACACAGCATCGTTTTATTTAATGATGTGTCTCTGCCATGGACTATTGCTCTGGAAGGAGAAGAAAATTTGCCTTCTTGTTTTCACTGCTGCTAGAACACTGTCCCCAAGATCAAACTCTCCTGGAGCATTGAAAAATTCTCTTCAGCAAAGTGACTCTCAGAAAACCCCTTTTGGTACCAAAACCATCTCTTGACTTGGGAGGAAGAGCTGTAACAACACAACATTTGCTCGTGACCCAAGAGGAAGCACAGCACGACCAGAAGACACCGTCCACATCAGGGAGAGACACAACTGCGTCTCATCCTCCAGTGAAGGATTGCATTGTTATACAAGATTTTGGAACAGCAAACCTAAAGAATGACACTCCAAATGGAAAGGTTCACTGCACGACCAAAGCAGGCAGCAGACAGATTTCAGCTGTGGCTCCTGGCGATGGGCCATCGGGATTCTTTTAAGCATCATCTGAAACATGACAACTCGATGCAATCACTTCTGTGGATCCTGCTTTAGGTCATCTTTCCACTCTGATGCAGCCCGTGAGTAATTTGGACCCAAATACCTCTCCACAGGTCTCTAGCAGAGACGTCAGCCCGGCTGTGTACCCAAGGAGGGAATGAAGTCAGCACACATCATGTCTAGGACAGTCACCCACACCAAGTTTGGGCTCTGCAGCTCAGTCCAAATATCCCAACAGAGTAAGCCAAGCTGTAGGTCACTCTCACGAGGGCAGGACGAGCACCCATGGGCTCATCCCAGAGCCCAAACTCCCAGCGTAGCAGTTTGGAAGGTGCTGGAGGGAGGGAATCACTTACAGTAGCAGCTGTGCTGCTCTTTGAGAAGCCAGGGACACGTCCAACCACTCAGCTGAACTCGTCCCTCCCCATCAGGGACGCCAGGAGAGGCCAGGACAGGGGACAGGCAAGACAATCCCTTTTCCTAAAAGAGATTCAGTGTCGAATATACCTCACCCTGCAAGAGGCACACAGACACTCTGTGTCACCCTCCTACAGCCCCAGCTTGCAGTCCCACACTCCAGGACGCTTTTCAACAAGCCCAGGGAGCTGTGTGACACAAACCCTGACCCCTGGCTCTGGCACGGGCAGGGTGACAGCAGCGGTCCCGTGTCCCAACCCCGCAGGGCAGAGCAACCTCCGGCCTCCTCCATCCTTCCCCTTTCAGGGCTGCGAGAGGGAAGTGCTGGGATCTGTGCTTTAAATGTGTGACTCAACTTCAGAGGCGAGGAGGAGCCCGTCTGTCAAAACAGAAGAGGATTTCGCTAATTTTCAACCCAGTGAGATGACAACACAATGTCACCCTGGAGTACAACGCGGGGATGGCAACGTCTTTGGCGTTTCTGAAGGAAAAGCCAAACTTTTATTACCTAGCCGACCCCCCTTCCTTAAGCACAGACATTGGGCACCACACCTTGGCCACGGCACCACCTCTGCAGCACAGCTTGTGCCCCCAAAGCCCCACGGTCATTCCCTCACTCGGGTTATGAACCCCAGACACCACCAGAGAGGCAACTCTAAACACAAAAGAAGTGGGATTACAGGTTTAGGTGGGAATTGTAAGTTTAGGTGAGGGTTATGGGTTTAGGTGGGGTGTTTTTAGCCTTCCCAGTTCTCGGGGTAACGCCAAGGATTGAACAGCTCATGTGTGGGCGCAAATTGCACGGATGCTGGAGAACACGGCGCTCCCAGCGAGCAGCCAGCCTTGCTCCTGGCGTGTCAGGAATCCATTCAAACTTCCCCAAGCCTCGCTGGCAGGGAGGCACGCTCCCCTCCTTGCTCAAAAACCTCGTCTGGAAACGAGGAGAAGGGCGGCATCACCCAGAGCCTGCTCAGACACAGAAGCCACCGCTGAGCTACGCCTGCCAAAGAGAAGCAAGTTAGGGGTAACAACGCTGAAATATTCCCTGTGGGAAGCGGGGGACGGCTGGGTGTTACAGCCGGGAGGGGACACGGCACGGGGACAGGGAGCGGCTGCCGGTGCTCACAGCACACACCGCGCTGTGACCCCACACCCGGGGATGCGGACCCCGCCGTTCCGAATGTGCATCCCCGCCAGGCCACGGTCTCCGCTCCAGGCCAGCCCCCCACCAGCACCCTCGTGCTACCAAGATGTCATTTCGCTTCGTTTCCCACTACAAAGCTGGAAAGCCGCGTCTCGCCGCTTTTAACGGGGGGGGGAAAAAAACGAGATTAAAGCGCGGCCGGAGGGGCGGGCGGAGCTCATTGGCCCCGCTGGCCCCCCCGGACCCCCTTTCCCCCGCAGCAGACACCTTCCATCACTGTCAGCAGCGCCGCTGCCGCTCCCGGC